CCCGCCGCACCGTACCGTCATGCCGGCATGCAAACGGCCCCACGTTACCGCTCGGCTACCGCCCCAGCGACTCCGTCACCGCATGCTTACCTCCCTCTGCTGGCACGCGGGCTCAAGACTGCGTCACTTCCCTCCTGCTTAATGTAACGGTGGTTCCAAGACTGCAAGTATTCACCACTACATGTTACCCTCCTGCTTGACAACGGTTCAAGATTGTGTATCCCACTACATGCCTGTACACTCCTGCTTGACAACGTGACAGCGGTTCAAGACTGTGTATCCTACTCTCTACATGTTACCCTCCTGCCTGACAACGGTTCCAGACTGTATACTGCTACATATACCAGGCGTCCATATGTTACCCTCCTGCATGACACCAGCGGCAACGTTCAAGATCTGTGTATACCACTACATGTTACCCTCCTGCGACAACTGTTCCAACGGTGGTTCTACAGACTGTGTGCATAGCCCACGGGCATGTTACTCCCTCCCCTGCTGTTTGACAACGGTTCAAGACTGTGTATCACTACATGTTACCCTCCAAGCTGCACAACGGCGGTTCAAGACTGTGTATCCACTACAATGTACACTCCTCCTGCGCCAGCGGCTGGTGGTTCAAGACTGTGTATCCCACTACATGTTACCTGCTTGACAACGGTTCCAAGACTGTGTATCCCACTACATGTTACCCTCCTGCTTGACAACGGTTCAAGACTGTGTATACCACTACATGTTACCTCCTGCTGCTTGACACAACGGTTCAAGACTGTGTATACCACTACATGTTACCCTCCTAGCTCTAGACTGTATCCACACCAACCCTCATAAAGGCAAAGCGTAGTTTATCCGCCTACAAGTTTGTCATATTGTACTTCTCAGCTTCAGCAATGACCACTCAAAGAAGTAACATACCATCTGTTTCCTTCTATCGTGTATGGGCGAGGAAGAACGTCCTGACTCAGCTGGATTACGCTCTGGATGTGGGGACAAAGGTCATCTCTGCACTACGAGACATACTTCAACCACGTTCCCTTGCCTAAACAGGTATGCCACAATCCCCTTACCTAAACAAGGTATGACACAATCTTTATCTTAACAAGGTAATGACACAGTACTCTTTACCGAAACAAGATATGTAAACACAATCATTAACCTAAACAAGGTCCACATACAATCTTTACCTAAACGAGGGTACAACACAATCTTTACCTAAACGAGGTATAACACCAATCTTTACCTAAACGATAGGTCCAAACAACCTTACCTAAACCCCGTACCAATCTTTTAGCTCCAACACAATCGGCATCTAAACGAGGTATGCAACACAATCTTTACCTAAACGAGGTATAACACAATCATTACCTGAAACTAGGTATGACACTAGGTCCCTTACCAAAACTAGGTACAACACAATCTTTACTCTAAACGAGGTACAAACAATCTTTACCTAAACGAGGTACAACACAATCTTTTACTACAAACGAGGTACAACACAATGATAACTTAAAACAGGTATGACTCAGTCCCCTAACCAAAACAAGCTCTATGACACAATCTTTACCTAAACAAGGTATGATAAATCCTTACATAAACAAGATATGACGCAATCCCGTACCTAAACAAGGTCTGACACATTTCAATTTCCTTTAACCATGAAATCATATAATCCCTTACCTAAAAGGCACCGCTCCTTTTAAATAAACAAGGAATCACACATAACCCTAATCTAAACAGGTATGATACAACCCCCCTATCTAAACAAGTCATCACATATCCTATGTGCCTAAACAATTCATCATATATTCCACTGAACCTAAACAATTAATCGTATATTCCCCAGAACGTAAACAATTCATCATATATTCCCCTGTAATTAAACAAATCATCATATGCTCCCCTGTAAGTAAACAATTCATCATATATTTCCCTTTACCTAAATAATTCATCAAATATTCCCCTGTACCTAAATAATTCATCCTATATCCCATGTACCTAAATAATTCATCCTATATTCCTCTGTACCTAAATAATTCATCATATATTCCCCTGTACCTAAATAATTCATCATATATTCCCCTGTACCTAAGCTAGGCATCACATATACCCTGTACCTAAAAAGCATCACGTCCCCAAGTGCCTAACAAATCATCACATATTCCCTGTACCTAAACAATTCGTCATATATTCCCCTGTACCTAAACAATTCATAAGATATTCCCCTGTACCTAAATGATTCATCATATACTATCCAAAAACAGAAACGCATAGGCCAGAAATCTGTTGCGAAAATGTTGTATTTTCAAACATGTATAACTCGTCTACAGGTAGATTTTAGTGAATGAATTTTTGCATCAGTTCAGAAGAAGGTACTGTATATACAACCAAGTCGATACTTTTAGATAAAGGAGACGCTGAGCGCGATGGTGACCACGTAGCATGGTCCCGACGTCGGGTCTCCTGGCTCTCAGTCCAGTCTCTCTCAACCTGTTCCGTACATTTTGACCGGATATCCTCTGAAGTCCAAGCACCCTGGCTGCTGTGCTCTCACCCGTGGCAGTACGATCAGCTTTTGTCTATGGTGAAATGGGCGTACTGCCATTGATTACTATTAGATTGGTACGCATTGTGAAATATTGGATTAAGATTATCACCAGTGACGGAAACCGATATATAAGCATTATATATAGGGCTCTAGTCGACAATGCTCGACAGAATCCAGCATATACGACATGGGTTACTCTCATTAGAGATTTGTTGTTTCACTATGGATATGGTTTTATCTGGTTACAACAGAAATTGACTCTAAATTGTACGGCATTTATCAGGGCTTTTAGACAAAGGGTTATTGATATACATTCCCAAATGTGGAAATATAATCTAAGCTCAATTAGTGAAACAAGAATATATTTGCTTATCAAATCATCACTTACCATGGAAAAGTATTTATCTCATATTGATATTATAAACTATAGGGTAGCCTTGACACGACTACGATTATCTTCTCATTCACTTATGATTGAGAAAGGAAGATGGGCTCGACCAAAACTAGCTTTAGAAAACCGATTATGTCCTTTTTTGCAAAAATGACATAGAGGATGAATATCATGTTATCATGGTTTGTCCTAAGTACTTGACATTTAGACGTCGCTACCTACCTCTGGACGTATACAAGTCTCCAAACATGATGAAGTTTATAAGTCTTCTACAAACTAAAGTTGAAGTATTAACCTTCAACTTAGCCAAATTTGTTTATCATATATTTCAGGTAAAGCAAAACTATAATCTGAATTATCCATGAATGCTTATTTCCTTCCTAGTGCTTTTTCTGTCACGAAGGTCTTTGCAAGTGGGTTGGGTTGGGTGGGGAGGGGAGGCAAATGTTGGCAATCGCTTTTGAAAGTATGTATGATGTATTTGTCATGTTGACCGTTGGCCTATTCAAAGAAATAAACAAACAAACATATGAAGTACCCGGATGTACCGATCTGTACGAGGACGGTCATTTGTTATACCTGTTTGGTTGTAACGAGCTGCAAGCCGTAATATTGTGCTCAGACTAACATTCAGACGCCTGGCAACAGAAGACTGGTAATCTCCAGCGTGCATTCTTTCAATGGCGATGTTCCATGTTCCGTGTCGCAGCGTCAAGACGTAGCGTATGTAGTCATTTGACCTTGAAACTCATTCAAAACGAATGCCAATTTCCGAAAATAATCTGGATTTTTATGGCCAGACAGTGCATGCTCTTTGCTGCACAATTTCAACTGGAAGGGGATTTCTGTTGAGTTGTGGCGATGCCTTTTAATCTTGGTAGGAATTCTCATCAAAATCAACATTTTCAGGTCACGTCGATTTTTAACTTTTGCAATTGTGTAAAATCATGTTATCAACACTTTTGTTTCATATTTTGACGATTGTTTGACCACAATAGGTAATTAATAGATATTAGAAAATACAAATCGCCTATTGTTTCTTTTTTGGGATAGTATATATTCCTAAACCTAAACATCACATATCCCCCTGAAACGTTTTTGAAAGGACTGAAACAATAGCCAGGAATGGTGCAAGGTCTCTGGTTCATGTTGTTGTGTTGAAGCTAGATCTGAACGATAGACAGTTTGTGTTGAAGCTAGATCACAGACGATGGACAGTTTGCCTTGATGCGTGTTCCAGACATGATCGCGATCCCCGACTTTGCAATGGGCGCCATGGAAAACTGGGGGATGATCACGTACCGTGAAAGTCTGCTGCTGTCACCAACAACTATGCTAAACAACAGGTCTTGGTGGCAATTGCCCATGAACTGGCACATCAGGTATAGAAGATGTCGCCAGGTGAACACTTGATTACTTACTGTTAATTTTGTTCCAGGTAAACACTTGATTACTTACTGTTAATTTTGTCCCAGGTAAACTGCTGTTGATTTATATATATCTGTCAAGAAATGTTGCTTTCGCCAAGTATAAACTCAGATGATGATGCTCACTGTGATGTGGGTGTCAGTCGTCTAACATTGGCCCACCTGCAGGTGGTGGTAGTGGACCATGGACCATCACAAGGAGGACAGTAACACTGGTCCACCTGCAGGTGGTGGTAGTGGTCCATGGACCATCACAAGGAGGACAGTAACACTGGTCCACCTGCAGGTGGTGGTAGTGGTCCATGGACCATCACAAGGAGGACAGTAACACTGGTCCAGGTGGTGGTGGTGCCATGGACCATCACAAGGAGGTGGTAGTGGTCCACCTACAGGTGGTGGACCATGGACCATCACAAGGAGGACAGTAACACTGGTCCACCTGCAGGTGGTGGTATGAGGATGGTAACACTGGTGGTCCATGGACCATCATAAGGAAGGCAGCAACACTGGTCCACCTGCAGGTGGTGGTAGTGGTCCATGGACCATCACAAGGAGGACAGTAACACTGGTCCACCTGCAGGTGGTGGTAGTGGTCCATGGACCATCATAAGGAAGGCAGTAACACTGGTCCACCTGCAGGTGGTGGTAGTGGTCCATGGACCATCATAAGGAAGGCAGCAACACTGGTCCACCTGCAGGTGGTGGTAGTGGTCCATGGACCATCACAAGGAGGACAGTAACACTGGTCCCACCTGCAGGTGGTGGTAGTGGGTCCATGGACCATCACAAGGAGGACAGTAACACTGGTCCCCTGCAGGTGGTGGTAGTGGTCCATGGACCATCACAAGGAGGACAGTAACACTGGTCCCCCTGCAGGTGGTGGTAGTGGACCATGCACCATCACAAGGAGGACTTTGGGATTCTGCCGACTGTAATCCTCACATAAACACATCTACTTTTCTTAATTGTCGACTTTAAAGTATGGGTAAACTTAGCATAGCAAATGTTCATGCACTAAAACATAATATTGTTCGTTGACGAAATATTGACCAAAACAAAACCTGTAAAAATAGTTCATCCATGTCTGATTTGGAATGTTCGGTTTCACCGATCGGGCGGTATCCCCTGTTCTGATTATAAGCTGAATTACGGTGAAGCACCGTTCTGTCTGCTCACGTTCTGCAAGTTCTGTCTGACTGACCACGACCAATGTCAACATTAACCCCTGGATGCCAGAGCGACATGTATGTTCCTTGCAGTAACGTTGAGGATGCCTTCAGTTATCCGCTCGGGGTTAATTCCTGACCAGTATTCAGTGTGAGGAATATGGACGAGGGCGGCTGGAAGTTCACGGTTCCCAGACACGTTTTATGCGAGACAAGGCTGGTTGCAGATATCCATTGTTATTCAAAATCTTCCCGGTGTCAAGAACAAACATCGTTTCATTCATTCAAACATGACTGCAATGTTATATTTGTAGGACGGACAGAGAGAGCATCACTTCTTTCCGATGTGTCGTTATTTGTACTGGGTGGACTCTACAAGCACGTCTATACAGAGCCAAATGACAAGCCATGTCACACACCATGATTTAGGCCACAGCTTACTGCGGCATAGGAGGGTATTGGCAATTCAAATTCCACGTACAGAGTTGCGTCCCTTTGGCCTATCAAGATCCAATAGTCATTGGCGATGGCTTGTGGGTACCATACACTAGTGGTGAACGACTGTGGCCTACATTACATGAGGCTCTTCGCCTCTCTCTAAGATGACACGCTGTAACTGGAATACTCATCAGCAACACACTTGGTATTGTTGTATTATTTGCTGTTGGTACGTTCAGCAATGTGTTGAGCCACGGGTTCACATCTCTCGCTGGGAGCATTGAAGGAGCACCTGCCTGAGTATTATTATTGCTGTTGGTACGTTCAGCAATGTGTTAAGTCACGGGTTCACATCTCTCGCTGGGAGTATTGAAGGGAGCACCTGCCTGAGTATTATGATTGCTGTTGGTACGTTCAGCAATGTGTTGAGCCACGGGTTCACATCTCTCGCTGGGAGTATTGAAGGGAGCACCTGCCTGAGTATTATTATTGCTGTTGGTACGTTCAGCAATGTGTTGAGCCACGGGTTCACATCTCTCGCTGGGAGTATTGAAGGGAGCACCTGCCTGAGTATTATTATTGCTGTTGGTACGTTCAGCAATGTGTTGAGCCACGGGTTCACATCTCTCGCTGGGAGCATTGAAGGGAGCACCTGCCTGAGTATTATTATTGCTGTTGGTACGTTCAGCAATGTGTTGAGCCACGGGTTCACATCTCGCTGGGAGTATTGAAGGGAGCACCTGCCTGAGTATTACTATTGCTGTTGGTACGTTCAGCAATGTGTTGAGCCACGGGTTCACATCTCTCGCTGGGAGTATTGGAAGGGAGCACCTGCCTGAGTATTATTATTGCTGTTGGTACGTTCAGCAATGTGTTGAGCCACGGGTTCACATCTCGCTGGGAGTATTGAAGGAGCACCTGCCTGAGTATTACTATTGCTGTTGGTACGTTCAGCAATAATGTTGAGCCACGGGTTCACATCTCTCGCTGGGAGTATTGAAGGAGCACCTGCCTGAGTATTATTATTGCTGTTGGTACGTTCAGCAATGTGTTTAGCCACGGGTTCACATCTCTCGCTGGGAGTATTGAAGGGGAGCACCTGCCTGAGTATTATTATTGCTGTTGGTACGTTCAGCAATGTGTTTAGCCACGGGTTCACATCTCTCGCTGGGAGCATTGAAGGGAGCACCTGCCTGAGTATTATTATTGCTGTTGGTACGTTCAGCAATGTGTTGAGCCACGGGTTCACATCTCGCTGGGAGTATTGAAGGGAGCACCTGCCTGAGTATTATGATTGCTGTTGGTACGTTCAGCAATGTGTTGAGCCACGGGTTCACATCTCTCGCTGGGAGCATTGAAGGGAGTACCTGCCTGAGTATTATTATTGCTGTTGGTACGTTCAGCAATGTGTTGAGCCACGGGTTCACATCTCTCGCTGGGAGAATTGAAGGGAGCACCTGCCTGATTATTATTATTATTGCTGTTGGTACGTTCAGCAATGTGTTGAGCCACGGGTTCACATCTGTCGCTGGGAGCATTGACGGGAGTACCTGCCTGAGTATTATTATTGCTGTTGGTACGTTCAGCAATGTGTTGAGCCACGGGGTCGGAAGCACCTGTCTGAAATTTCTGGAATATTGCTAAAGGTGGCGTGTAACTGTATTCACTCTCCTTCAGTGGTTCGGGAACCTGGTGACACCGAAATGGTGGGACGACTTATGGCTCAATGAGGGGTTCGCCACATTTGTGGAATATATGGGATCGGATCTAGTACAGCCACAATTTAAGATGGTAAGTAGTAGGTTGTTTGGAAGTTGTTAACGCCGCATTCTGCAATATTCAAGCAATATGGCGGCAGTTTGTAAACAATCGAGCCAATTCAGTGATGTAACCACTGGCGGTAGAACAGTCTGTGAAATAGGCACCTCTCAGTTCATATTACAGAACTGTCCAATACTGAAACAGTCACTAACATCAATGGTGAACATCCACCTTGCACAATCAGGTTTAACCATATCAATAATCTTCCAGTGACTGTTCCGTTTATTTCATTCGGTACACAACACGACTTATGTGGATTTGATGTCCTCCAAGACGGGTGTGAGGCTTTGTGGTTTGAGGTTGGATGACGTCATTATTTCATGCTACTTTTCAGTTTGAGCAGTTCGTGGTGCAAGAGATGTTTCCTCTATTTACTGAAGACGGCTTAGTGACGTCACACCCGGTCTATGTTGATGTGAAAACTGTCGACGAAATCAACGAAATATTTGACGACATTTCCTATAACAAGGTTTGGGTATTAGCGTCTCTAAAGGCGTTTTATGTGAACCGTTTCCAGCTTATAACTGTGCAGTAAGGAATGAATCATGCACTCTGTCCCTACCATATTTACTTCACGATTAGGGAAAGGCAAGGCTTAATGTCACTGTCAAGATTATTGCACGTAAGCAGGTATGTGTATGTGTGTGTGTGTGCGTGCGCGCGCTTTTGTGTGTATGTGTATGCATTTTATGGATAGACAACTTCTGCATTGCAATAGATGGGACGTTTCGGTGAAGACCGTTATATGGCACGTGATAAAGTGCTGCAATATTGTCTGTCATTGTCTAGACATTGTCTTTGTGTCTAGAACCGTAGCCATGGCCGATATCTCTACCTCGGTATTCATTAACCGCAGCATAGCAGCATAATACCATAACGTTAATAGACAGAGTGAGTGAGTATAGCAGCATAATACTATAACGTTATTAGACAGAGTGAGTGAGTATAGCAGCATAATACCATAACGTTATTAGACAGAGTGAGTGAGAGAGTTTAGCAGCAGCATAATACCATAACATTATTAGGCAGAGTGAGTGAGTGAGTTTAGCGGCATCATGATACCATAACCTTATCAGACAGAGTGAGTGAGTTTAGCAGCATAATACCATAACGTTAATAGACAGAGTGAGTGAGTATAGCAGCATAATACTATAACGTTATTAGACAGAGTGAGTGAGTATAGCAGCATAATACCATAACGTTAATAGACAGAGTGAGTGAGAGAGTTTAGCAGCAGCATAATACCATAACATTATTAGGCAGAGTGAGTGAGTGAGTTTAGCGGCATCATGATACCATAACCTTATCAGACAGAGTGAGTGAGTTTAGCAGCATAATACCATAACCCTATCAGGCAGAGTGAGTGAGTGAGTGAGTTAAGTAGCAACATAATACCATAACGTTATTAGACAGAGTGAGTGAGTTTAGCAGCATCATGATACCATAACCGTATCAGACAGTGTGAGTGAGTTTAGCAGCATAATACCATAACCTTATCAGGCAGAGTTAAGCAGCATAATGCCATAACGTTATTAGACTAAGTGAGTGTTTGAATGAGTTTAGCAGCAGCATAATACCATAACGTTATCAGACAGTGGGTGAGTTTAGCAGCATAACACCATAACGTTATTAGACAGAGGTGAGTGGAGTGAATCAGTTTAGCAGCAGCATGATACCATAACGTTAATAGACAGAGTGAGTGAGTGAGATTAGCAGCATCATAATACCATTACCTTAATGAGACAGAGTGAGGAGTGAGGTTTAGCAGCATGATACCATAACCTTATCAGAGAGAGCGAGTGAGTTTAGCAGCATAATACGATAACTTTATCAGATAGAGTGAGTGAATGAGTTTAGCAGCAGCATCATACCATAACGTTATCAGACAGAGTAAGTGAGTGAGTGATTTTAGCAGAATAATACCATAACGTCATCTTGCATAGAGAGTGAGTGAGTTTAGCAGCAGCATAATACCAAAACGTTATTAGACAGAGTAAGTGATGAGTTTAGCAGCATAATACCATAACGTTATTAGACAGAGTGAGTGAGTGAGATTCACAGCATAATACTATAAGGTTAGTAGACAGAGTGAGTGAGTTTTGCAGCATAATATCATAACGTTATCAGACAGAGTGAGTGAGTGAGTTTGGCAGTAGCATGATACCAGAACGTCATCAGACAGTGAGTGAGTGATTTTAACAGCATAATATCATAAGGTTATCAGATAGAGTGAGTGAGTGAGTGATTTTAGCAGCATAATACCATAACGTGATCAGACAGTGAGTGAGAGAGTTTAGCAGCATAATATCATAACGTTATTAGACAGAGTGAGTGATTGATTGAGTTTAACAGCATAATAACATAGCGTTATTAGACAGAGTGAGTGAGTGAATGAGTTTAGCAGCAGCACAATGCAATAACGTTATTAGACAGAGTGAATGAGCGAATGAGTTTAGCAGCAGCATAATGTCATAACGTTATTAGACAGAGTGAGTGAATGAGTTTAGCAGCAGCATAATACCATAACGTTATTAGAAAGATTGAGTGAGTGAGTTAATGGGTTTAGCAGCAGTATAATACTATAACGTTTTCAGACAGAGTGAGTAAGTGAGTGAGTTAAGCAGCATAATACCATAACGTTATCAGACAGAGTGAGTGATCGAGTTTAGCAGCAGCATATTACCATAACGTTATCAGACAGACTGAGTCAGTGAGTTTAGCAGCAGCATAATACCATAACGTTATAAGACAGACTGAGTCAGTGAGTTTAGCAGCAGCATAATACCAAAACGTTATAACACCGAGTGAGTGAGTGAACGAGTTTAGCAGCAGCATAATATCATAACGTTATTAGACAGAGTGAGTGGGTGAGTTTAGCAGCAGGATAATCTAATGTTATAAGATAACTTCATTTGTATCTTCCAATCTGCCATTTACAGGTGATGATTCTGCACTCCAATGACCGTCTCTGATAGAGTGAGCTAGTTAAGGTCGACTTTGTAGCTATGTGGGGACCATTTGACATTTTATTTAATTTCCAGGGAGGGACTGTGATAAGAATGCTGAGATTTTTCATCGTGAAGATACTTTCCAGAAAGGTTTATCCAGTAAGTACACCCGCATGTAATCTAGTAACAGGGTACTTTAGTGGGATGTATCCTACCATTGTAGTTGTTGTGATCCATAGTTAGCAGTCAATCTCAGAAGTTTCAGTCATCCTTCGCACTTAGCACACTTTACAATAGCCTCAACAGCCCACATCGTTTCTGTTGTAGCATAAAAGTATCGGTTTTTGTCTGAGGCCCACATGAGGCAACATCCAGGCCTTGTAGTGGCATGTGGTGCCACAGACGTCTGTATTACCAGTGCGCAACATCTAAGCAGTGGGTCCTATGAGTGCCACAGTTGTTTGTATACCCAGTAAACATCTAGGTAGTGTGTGGTATGGGTGCTACAGATGTCTGTATACCAGCAACATTCTAGGCAAAGCGTGTGGTATGTGGGTGCCACAGATGTCTGTATACCAGTAACATCTAGGTAGTGTGTGGTATGGGTGCCACAGATGTCTGTATACCAGTAACGATCTGTGGCAGTGGTGTGGTATACCACAGATGTCAGTATATCAGTGTCAACATCCAGGCAGCGTGTGGTATGGCGCCACAGACGTCCGTATTACCCGCCAGCAACATTCAGGCAGTGTGTGGTATGGGTGCCACAGATGTCCGTACACGAGCAACATCTAGGCAGCGTGGTAGCATGGCGCCAAAGATGTTCATTGCATACCAGCAACATCTATAGTGTGGCATGTGGTGCCACATAAGCGTCCGTATACAAGCAACATCCAGGTAGTATGTGGTATCGGTGAGACAGATGTCTGCATACCAGCAACATCCAGGGTAGTGTGTGGTACGGGTGCCACACATGTCCGTGCTACTAGCAACATCTAAGAAGTTAGGCATCTGTGTGTGGGTGCCACAGATGTCTGTATACCAGTAACATCTATAGGTAGTGTGTGGTCTGGGTTGGCCACATACGTCTGTATAACAACAGTAACATTCTAGGTAGAGTGTGGTGGCGGTTACCACAGATGTCTGCATACACCGTAACATCTAGGTAGTGGCGCGTGGTGTGGATGCCACTAATACGTCTGTATAACCAGTAACATCTAGGTAGCGTCTCGTCTGGGTGTCACAGATGTCGGCATGCCAGCAATGATCCAGGTAGTGTGCGGTATGGGTGCCACAGATGACCGACATCAGTAACGTTCAGGTAGTATGTGGTATGGATGCCACAGGATGTCAGCGGTATCCCAGTAACATCAGGTAGTACGGTCGTACGTGGGTGCCACAGATGGATGTATACCCAGAACCATTTTAGGGCAGTGTGGTGGCGGGCAACGATGCCGCCAGCATACCAGTAACATCTTAGGCAGTGTGGTGGTATGGAGATGCCACAGATGTCTGTATACCAATAACATCTGTGGCAGTGTGTGGTGTATGGATGCCACAGATGTCAGTATACCGCAACTGATCTAGGTAGCATGTGCATGGGTGCCACAGGATGGATGCATTAACGGACCACCATTTAGGGCAGTGGGTAGTCGTATGGCACCATTACCACCAGATGCCCAGCATACCAGCAACGATCCAGGGCAGCGTGTGGTATGGTGCCACAGATGTCTGTACACCAGCAACATCTAGGCAGTGTGTGGTATGGGTGCCACAGATGTCTGCATACCAGTAGCATCTGGCATGCAGTGTAGTGGTATGGGTGCCACAGATGTCCGTATGCACCAGCAGCATCTATGTAGTGTGGTATGGGTGCCACAGGATGTCTGCATACCAGTAGCGATCTGCGTAGTGCGGTGGCATGGTGCCACAGATGTCCTGTATACCAGTAAAATCTAGGTAGTATGTGGTATGGGTGCCACAGATCGTCTTGTATACCAGCAACATCCTAGGTAGTGTGTAGTATGGTGCCACAGATGTCTGTGGCTCACCAGTGCAACATCCAGGTGCAGTGTGGCGCGGCGCCGCAGATGTCTGCATAACCAGTAACATCTATTCAGGCATGTTGTGTGGGTGGCACAGATATCTGCATACCAGTAACATATAGGCATCAGGTGGCCTGCGCCACAGGATGAATCGTATAACCCAGGAACCGCTTTAGGCAGGCGTGGTATGGGTGCCACAGATGTCAGCATACCAGTAACATCTAGGCCACTATGTGGTATTGGTGCCACAGACAGTCTGTATACCAGGAAGCATCTATGTAGTGTGTGTGGTCTGCGCCACAGATGTCAGCATACCAGGTAACGATCTAGGTAGTATGGTATCGGTGCGACAGGATGTCTGTATACCAGTAATCTAGGGTAGTGTGTGGTGGTATGGGTGCCGCCACCATGTCTGTATTACACCAGTAACGACCTAGTTAGTGACTTTGTGTGGTGCCACAGATGTCTGTGCTACCCCAGTAACATCTAGGTAGTATGTGGTGGATGCCACACACAGTCTGTATGACACCAGCAAACATCTAGGTGAAGGTCTCTGTCCAAAGTGTCACAGATGTCAGTATGAAAGCAATGATCGAGGTAGTGGTGTGGTGGTATGGTGCCACAAATGTCTCAGATACCAGCAACATCTAGGGCATTGTGTGGCGGTATGTTGCCACAGATGTGCATATCAGAACCATCTAGGCAGTGTGGTGGCATCGGTGCCACAGATGTCAGTACGCTACACCAGCAACATCTAGGGCAGTGTGTGGTACGGGTGCCACAGATGTCCGTGGCATCACCAGCAACATCTAGGGTAGCGTGTGTGGTATAAGTCCCACAAGTATCACCATACCAGTAACATCAAGCGGAGCAAGGTTGGATCCGGTGCCACCACAGATGTCAGTGACACCAAGTAAGATCTAGGTTGTGTGGCATGGGTGCCACAGATGTCATCAGTGACAACCACCACATGAAGCCAGTAGCACAGTATTGGGTGCCACAGGATGTCCTGTATCCAACTATATCTAGGGCATGTGGTGTATGTTCACTGACAATCTGGGTATAACCAGCACCATCCATGCAGTGTGGCATAAGCCAAAGACGTCAGCATAACCATTAACATCCAAGCAGCGGATGGTAAAAGTGCCACAGGCGTCAGCATACTCAGAGCAACATCCCAGGCAGTACATGGTGGCATGGGTGCCACACAGATGCCCGTGACACCAGCAACATCGAGGCAGTGTGGTGGCTGGCGCCAGCAGACGCCCAGCCACACCCAAGCAGCAAGCAGGCAGCCACGGGATCCGTGCACCCCAGTGAACATCTACGCAGTCAGGTGGCACAAACAACGTCAGCAGACCACAACATCCAGCAGTGGTGGCATGGCTCACAGACGTCAGCACACCCAGCACATCCAGGCAGTGTGGCATGGGCGCCACAGATGTCAAGCACACCAGTAACATCCAGGTGAGTGTGTGGGTTCACAGACATCAGCACACAACCCAGTGTAACCCAGGTCAGGTGGAATCGAGCCGCCACAGGATGTCCCAGGCAATCGATCCAGGGTGAAAGGTGCAGATGTGGCGCCCCAAATGCACGAACACCCAGCAACTGACTGAGGTGGAAACTGGCACCAGATGTCCAGACACCAAAAAAAAACATCCAGGCAGTATGTGGCATGGCCTTCTGTCGCAGATGTCCAGATCACACATCTAATGTTGTGCCAATTTGGATATCCAGGACAATCAATCCCACACATCAGACCAGCAATCCATCTAGGGTAGCATATCCCATCAAGCACTCCATCCATCAATGATCAGGCTGAGTGGCTGACCCATGACACAGATCATGTCAGGACGGCCCAGACACCCCACCCACATAGGGAGCCACACAAGGCCCATCCCAACCTGAGACCAGGGCAGTGAGTGGGGACAAAGACTTGGATATCCAGGAACACACCCATCCCAAGAAGTGGGAGAAGGAAACAAAGACAGCCCAGTCACCACATCCAGGGTGAAGGACACCAGAACACCAAGGCAGTGGAGAAAGAGAATCTGAAACAAGAGAATGATCCACAGAAGATCCAGACACAGGCACGACGACCACAAAAAGACGGACACAGACAGGAAAATGAACCGACACACACTGAGCAGACACACCCAGGACAACACAGACACAGGCACACAGAACAGTCCCAGCACGACCACAACACACACAAGACACAGTGGAGGAACACACAGGAAGACAAGGAGCACTGAAAACGGAAGAACAAGGAACAGGACAACGAAGAGATCTAGTATGGAAGAATGGACAAAGAAAAAATATCCATGTGGAGGAAAAGACACCAGACACTGAATGGGGAGGAAGAACAGAACACTTAGAAGGAAAGCATAGATAAACCAGATAATGAATGACCTAATATGGGAGACAGTGGACATGGAAGAATGGATATTTGAAAATAGTAAATATCTAGGAAAGCCTAGAAATGGCACACATTTAGGTAGTATGAATATAGACAACAGGATAATGACATTAGTAGTGGAAAGATAAAAACAGGGAAACCACAGTGTTTGGAAGAATATGGAGGTTCTGGAGGAAGGATAAATAAGAAGAAAGGAAAAGAATAGATAAAGAAGGGGAAAGAGTGGAAGGAAAGAGACAATGAAGGAAGGAAGGAAAGATAAAATGGAATGGAAGGAAGCATGGAGCCCAGGGGAATATTCATGGGTATGGGTGCCAAAGATGTCAGTATACCAGTAATATCTAGGTAACGTGCGGTATGGGGCGCCATTGCGACGTCAGCATAACAGCAACATTCAGGTAGTTCGTGGTATGGGCGCCACGGATATCCGGTATGCCCGGCAACATTTTGGTCAGTGTATGTGGTATGGGTGTCACAGATGTATGTATACCAGTAACATCTAGGAGATTAGTATTGGCAATGGGTGCCACGGATATCTATTATACCATTAACATAAAGGCAGCTTGTGGTATGGGTGGGTGCCAACAGACGTTTTTCAATGCCTGGTAAGATCTGGTGGCGGTATGCATATATGGGTGCCACAGATGTCTGCATACCAACACGGGCAATATCTAGGTAATATGATGTGTGTGGTAC